TAGAATAGAATAGAATAGAATAGAATAGAATAGAATAGAATAGAATAGAATTCTTTATTGGCCAAGTGAGATTGGACATATAAGGAATTTGTCTTGGTGCAAATGCTCTCAGTGTACATAAAAGAAAAGATATATTTGTCAAGAATTATAAAGTACAACACTTAATAGTAGTTCTAGGGTACAATAAGCAATCAAATCATACTAGGAAACAGTCAATATAAATTGTAAGGATACAAGTGACAAAGTTACAGTCATACAGTCACAAGTGGGAGGGGATGATAATTTCAACCTGATCATCTATACCTCCAGCGAGAACTCTTGAGTTGATCTGTTTCTCAACCTTGGGCAATTTTAAGATGTGTGGCTTTCAACTCCTATGCTGGTTGGGGAACTATGGGAGTTGAAGCCCACACATCTTAAAGTAGCTCAAGGTTGAGAAACTCTCTCTTAGGTTATCCATTGTTTTTCTTGGCTCTCCACCAATCCTCAGAAATCTTCTCCAACACCAAAGTTCAAAGACCCTTAGAAAACAAAGGCAGCCTTTCCAAGCCTACTTATTGTGTTTCTTGGGGGGAGGGGGAGTTGTTCCTTCAATACAGGTAGTCCTCGACTTACAACAGTTCATTTAGTGAGCAAAATTACACTGGCATTGAAAAATAGGGACTCTGGACTGTTTTTCCAAAGTTACGACCTTTGCAGCATCCACATGGTCAGGTGATCAAAATTTGGACGCTTGGCAACTGGTTGTATTTAACAGATAACAGATAATCAGAGTTGGAAGGGACCTTGTAGGTCATCTAGTCCAACCCCCCCCCCCCCCCCCAAGCAGGACACCCTACACCATTTCTGACTGTTGGGAGTCCAATCTCTTCTTGAGGATCTCTAGTGATGAAGCTCCCACAACTTCTGAAGGCAAAGCTGTTCCATGGGTTGATTGTTCTCCCTGTCAGAAAGTTTCTCCTTATTTTCAGGTTGAATCTCTCCTTGTTCAGTTTCCAACCATTATTCTTTGTCTGGCCTTGTGGTGTTTTAGAAAATAGCTTGACCCCTTCCTCCCTGTGGCAGCCCCTCAAATATTGGAAGACCGCTATCATGTCTCCCCTGGTCCTTCTCTTCACTAGACTAGCCATGCCCAGTTCCTGTAACCGTTCTTCATATGTTTTAGTCTCCAGTCCCCTAATCATCCTGGTTTCTTGGTTGTTTATGACGGTTGTAGGGTCCCAGCGTCATGCAATCCCCTTTTGCAACCTCCTGGCAAGCAAAGTCAATGAGGGAAGCCAGATTCACTTAACAACCAGGTTAGTACTTTATCAACTGCAGGGATTCACTTAACAACTGGTACAAGAAAGGTCCTAAAAGGATCCAAAAACTCAAACGTCTCGCTGAACCACAGAATCGTTGGGCTCCATTGTGGGGGTAAGTCGAGGACTCATCTATTTCCAATTTCCCTCACAGAAGGGGGAAACCTCCCCCCACCCACCCACCAAAGCCTAAAACGCAGGGGGGGGGGGGAGCGCTCAGTCTGTGACCGGTGTTGCCAATGGGGCACTACTCCAAGGCCGCCACCTGGCTCAGGTGCGCCGGTGGGAGGTGGAAGTAGCTCAAGGTCTTAACCGCGGCGCGGGGAAAGATCAAAGGCAAGGGGCGAGAGAAACCCCGAGAAATCTAGTCTGAGGATTCTAGGTGGGCGTGGCCAGAGGCCGGTTGGGCGGGGAGGCTTGGGCTCCTATGAAAGGGAGCGGTCGGCTTCGCGGCGATTTCGATTTTTCTTCCCCTGTGTTCGTTCCTGGCGCCCGCGTCATCCTCCGCGTGTCTGAACGCGCGCTGCTCTTCTCGTTGTACCAGCAGGGTCCGGACGTTTTCCTTCTGGCTTTGGGTATCTCTCTCTCTATATATAGTTAAACTCACTCTCGGTCTTAAATCTGGTTTGTTGAATGGCTCCGGGTTTCCTCGTTGCCTTAGAATAAAATAGAACTGGAAGGGACCTTGGAGGTCTTCTAGTCCAGCCCCCTGCTCAAGCAGGAGAGAACCTATAGTATTTCAGATAAGTGGCTGTCTAGTTTCTTCTTAAACACCTCCAATGATGGAGCGCCCACAATTTCTAAAAGCAAGTAATTCCACTGGTTAATTATCCCCACCTTTAGGAAGTTTCTCCATAATTGCTGGTTGCTTCTCTCTTTGGTTAGTTTCCAACCATTGTTTCTCGTCCTGCCCCCTCTGGTGCTTTGGAAAATAATTTGATCCCTCCTCCTCTTTGTGGCAGCCCCTCAAATGCTGGAATATGCTATCATGTCACCCCTAATTCTTCTTTTCTTTAGACTAGCCAAACCCAAATCCAGCAGTTGCTCTTCATATGGTGTAATCTCCAGGCCTTTGATCATCTTAGTTGCTCTTCTCTGAATTTTTTTTCCAAAGTCTCAACATCTTCTTTCTAGTGTGGTGACCAAAACTGGTTGCAGTATTCCAGGTGTGGCCTTATTAGGGTTTTATAAAGCGGCACTGATATTTCATGTGATCTTGATTTTATGCCTCTGTTTATACAAACCAGGATTGTATTAGCTTTTTTGGCTGCTGCTGCACACTGCTGGCTCATATTCAAGTGATTGACCACTAAGGACTCCAAGATCCCTTTTACTGTTTTTGAACCAAGCCTTGCCTAATCTGTACTTGTACCTTTGATTTTTTCTTGCCTAAATGTAAAACTTTGCTTTTCTCCACATTAAAATTCATTTTGTTGGATAGGGCCCATTGTTCAAGTTTGTCAGGGTCTGTTTGGATCCTGAGCTTGTCTTTCAGGGGTGTTGGCTATTCCTGCCAGTTTAGTGTCCTCTGTAAATTTGATGAGTGCCCCCTTGTATTCCCTCATCAACAGGTTTTGGAATCGAAGTTGCCTCCATGCCATGGTATAATGATGTGCAACGCAACATAATTAATAAATGAATTGCACTGTTATTTATTTACATTGTTGTGGGAGATGACATGGCGTTAATAGTAAATATTAATTAAAAAGTAATTTAGTAGTGTTTAATAGCTAAGTGCTTATTTGATTTTAAATAATGTTTAGAACTAAATACGGATAGTTTTCGATTTACAACATTTAGTTGATCAAAGTTACAACGGCACTGAAAAAAGGGACTTAGCACCGTTTTTCATGCTTATGACCATTGCATCATCCCTATGACCACGTGTTCTACATTCGGATGGTCGACAACTGACTCACATTTATGACAGTTGTAGTATCCCAAGAAAAGTGGGGCAAAACCCATTTAACAAATTTTTCACTTAGCAACATAAATGTTGGGATCAATTGTGGTCGTAAGTTGAGGACTACCTGTATATTTAGTTTTGATATATTTTATTTTAAATGGTTTATTTCCTGCTTGTGCACCACTCAGAATGTGGTGCAAGATGGAGATGCCATATAAATGTTCTAAATAAATAAATAAATGCTATCTTATGGGGACTTTTCAAATGTCAGTTTCAAATTTTCAAACATTTTTTTTGACTAGGGGAGTCAAATGATGAATGGAAAGAACTGAGTTTTTTTGGGTTTTTTAATTTGCTCCAATTTTTGTCCCCAATTCTGAAGGAGTGGTATCTAAGGGAAAAGAGAGTTTTCTCCAGTGGTGGGTGTTAGGAATGTAAGTCACCTAACAGTTGGGTTGGAAAATATATAAACCAGGATAGACATTTTAATACTGTCTCTTTAAGGGAATGCTAAAATGGTAATTGGGTGTGGTTCCTCAAACGGCCATAAGATGGAGCTAGAAACCTGGGTTGTTCTGTTGTTGCTGAGAGCATTGCCGTTCCTGCATTTTCCCGATCATAGTTCTTGGATTTGATGTAAGTCTGTTACTGAACTGTTTTTGATACTGGACTTTGATTTTGGATTATCCCTGGACTAAAAACTGACTGCTTTAACCGTATATGACTTGGGCTGTGTTTGGACTTTGCTTAACCGTTTACTGGAAGTAAAACCTACATTTTACTATACAGTGTAGCTGTGTGCTGTGTGTGTGTTATTCAACATTACTCTCACTACATCTCCCTGTGTGCGCTCATTCTCCTAACGGGGAATTACCTCAACAGTGGGATTCAAAATTTTTTACTATCAGCTCTGTGGGTGTGGCTTGGTGGACATGGTGTGGCTTGGTGGACATGGTGTGGCTTGGTGGGCATGGTGTGGCTTGGTGGGCATGGCAGGGGAAGGTTATTGCAAAATCCCCATTCCCTCCCCACCCCACTAACCTGCTTTCCAGCTCTGTTCTCCTATGCAGGGCAACCAAAGAAGACCCAGCCAATCAGCTGGGTCTCAGGAGGCAGAGAATAGATGGGGGCAGGGCCAGTCAGAGGTGGTATTTGCCAGTTCTCTGAACTACTCACAATTTCCGCTACCTGGTTCTCCAGAACTGGTCAAAACCTGCTGAATACCACTTCTGGTTTTCTCCCTTAAATTTTGTGAGACAGTAAAAGAACTTTTTTTTAAAAGAGGAGAAAAATGTCCTCAGGTGTATGTATTCTGATATGTGGGTGGAACTCATTTCAATGAATTTTGGGGACAATGGACAGAGATTATTTGTAAGTGTACTTCTTATGTGTACAGGTAGTTCTTGGCTTATGGCCACAATTGTGCTCCAAATTTCTGCAGTTAAGTGAGTTTTGTCCCATTTTACAACCTTTCTTGCCACAGTCGTTAAGTGAATCATTGCAGTTGTTAAGTTAGTCACCCTGTTAAGTGAATCTGGCTTCCCCAATGACTTCGCTTGTCAGAAGGCCGCAAAAGAGGATCACGTGGCTCTGGGACACAGCAACTGTCACAAATGTGACCCAGTTGCCAAGCGTCTGAATTGTGATCATGCGACCATGGAGAAATTGAAATTTGGTAGTTGTATTTTAACTTTTTTTTGAATTAAATAATGGAAAAAAGAACAAATGATTCTAAATCAAGTGCTATCTTGATTAACAACTATTTATTGTTATCAATGGTATTTGAGGGGGTCAGCCTATTTTTCAAAGCACCTGAGGGCAAGACAAGAAACGATGGGTGGAAACTATTCAAGGAGAGAACCAGAACTAAGGAGAAATTTCCTGACTGTGAGAACAATTACTTTGCCTTCAGAAATTGTGGGTGCTCCATCACTGGAGGCTTTTAAAGAGACTGGCCAGCCATTTGTCTGAAATGGTATAGGTTCACCTGCTTGAGCAGAGGGTTGGACTAGAAGACCTCTAAGGTCCCTTCCAACTGTGTTATTCTTGTTAACAACTTTTTGGTGGGATTGGGAGACAATCCCACCAAACAAAATGGGTGATCATCCCATCTCACCTTAGTTTCCTTTTCTTTCTATATAGGTTGATCTTTTGCAGGAGTGGCAAAGATAAATAAGTAAATTTTTTTAAAAAAGCGCTCTCCCTAAACTTTGATGCTCAAGCATTATTACACCCTCTGGGAAGAACAAAACCGGCCTTCAGCTTCTCGCCCTCGGCACCATGAGCCAGGAAATCTCCGACAAGATATTCTGCTCAGAAGTGACCTGTTCCATTTGCTTGGAGTATTTCAGAGATCCCGTCATCCTTCAGTGTGGACACAATTTCTGCCACGACTGCATTATGAAATACTGGAGGGAGTTTGTGCTGAAGTATATTTGCCCTCAGTGCAAAACGGTCGCTCAGACGGAGGTTGTTCTCCCAAACAAATCCCTGGAAAAAATTGCAAGGTTGCTTGAAAAGTTGAAGCAGGAGGCCGGAGGCAAAGAGGCCTGCGAGAATCATCAAGAGCCTTGGGAATATTTCTGCAGGAATCACCAAGCCCCCTTGTGCAAGTGGTGTGCTGGATTCAGTGATCACGAAGGTCACGTCAGGATCTCCTTGGAGCAAGCAACCCAAGAATTTAAGGTGGGTGAATCCTCTATTTCTAAAATAATGATGGAATAATAATGTTTTTTTTTTTTTTTTAGATAAAGGTAAAGTTTCCCCTCACACATACGTGCTACTCGTTTCCAGCTCTAGGGGGCACTGCTCATCTCCGTTACAAAGCTGAAAAGCCAGTGCTGTCCGAAGACATCTCCGTGGTCATGTGGCCGGCATGCCGAAGGTGTATGGAATGCTGTCACCTTCCCACCAAAGTGGTCCCTATTTTTCTACTTGAATTTTTACATGCTTTCGAGTGGCTAGGTTGGCAGCTGGGACAAGTAACGGGAGCTCACTCTGTTATGCAGTGGTAGGGATTCAAACCGCCAAACTGCTGGCCTTTCTGATTGACAAGCTCAGCGTCTTAAGCCACTGAGCACTGCGTCCCTTTTTTTAAAAAAAAATGTGGACAAAAGCTTGGATGGGAGCTGGCTGTGGGATTCTGGGAATTAAAATCCAACATCTTTTATTATTATTACTTTTTATGCAATTCCCTTTGTTATATATACATTTTCCATATCCACAATGGCGGTCTACTATCTGGGTATCATCTCTTTTAAATACAAATAACAAACCTTATACACACATTAATTATGACCATTATTCACTTAATCTATTCACATAATCTTCACTTATCCTTATTAAACAGTTTCCATTATTTAATTAAACACTCCATTCAATTTTATCATATAGTTAATATCAGACCTTATAAACATCACATTTATCACCATTGTCCTCCAAATCTAATATATTTCCTTATCCTATTTATAAAACATTATTTAGTTATACGCTTCATTTTTATTTACATATCCTCTTTGATTTTAATTTTCTAACTTCTGCTTCTACTTTCTAACCATTGATAAAATAGTTCCCAAGTTAAAAAGGATTCTGTGTCCTCCTTATCCTTAATCTTCAAAGTTAATCTATCCATTTCAGCACAATCTAATATTTTCTTTATTACATTTTCCGGTGTAGGTATATTTTCATTTTTCCAATTTTGTGTATACATCTTAAAGGAGAATATTTGTAGCTCAGGGTTGAAATGAGGGGTCCTTGGTGCTCTCTGAGCTTGCTTGTTTTCATGCAGACCTCTTTCATTATCCAAACTAGGTAACTAGCACTGATGATGTTACCTAGTTGGGTAATGAAACGTCTGCAAGAAAACAAGCAGGCTCAGAGAGCACCAAGGACCCCACACATCTTGAGGGGGGAAACAGTGACTTAAATATGCCAGAAAATGGTTTTCATTTTAAAAAATGAATTTTTTAAAATTAAATTAAATTAAAAATGGAGAATTAATAATAAGGAAAGGGGAGTGGTTGTCGTAGGAGAAAAAAAGTTCGTCTTTCTGAAGATTTTGCTCATTGTGTTTGGTGCCACAAAGACTGCTTGCCAGAACGTAATTTGCAGCCTTTAACTGATAAGGTCTGTAGTGTAGTTAACTTTGAAGGACTATTGCCTGGACTTTTCGGCGGATGAATGCAATTAATTCACAAGAGGTAAATAAAGAGGGTTTTTTTTTTGTGACAAGAAGTCTGTTTCTTGTTTCTGCTAAGGCTGGGTCAGAACACGGAGAGTCAATTAGCACCTCAAATATAGAGCAATTCATCCCGACAAACCTAGTTCTGGCAAAGGATTCTGACTTGTACATCTGACTTGATGTACACTGGAAAATGAAAGGTTCTCTGCGACAACAGGCCACTTCCAAAGCCCTACTATTTATTTTCCAGCCTGGGAGGGGCTGGATAGAGTCTACGACTTCTTTCCCCTGAGAGCCGGCTTATTGCCTTCCGTTGCTCTCCTCTCCTCTCCTCTCTATGCATATACGCATCTAGGATGAGCCCCATTTGTCTCCCCCCTCACTCAGCTCAGGCCCCGAAGACAGCGGCCTCTCCACCTGGGGGTGGATGGAAGGCCTCAGCTCTGCATCTGCTTCTGATTCTGCTTCCTCATCAAAGCCTTCCAAAGGCTCCAAAGCTGGCCCAGGCTCCCCTCCCCCTCCTCCTCGTCTGACTCTGCTGACATGCCACAACACAAAAGATGATCACATGACTCTGGGACATTGCAACTGTCATAAATATGAGTCAATTGCCAAGCACCCAAATTTTGATCCGTTTGTTCGTAACCCATGTGAAAAATGGTCGTAAGTTATTCTTTTTTTTTCAGTGCCGTTGTAACTTTGGTCACTAAACAAACTGTTGTAAGTTGAGGACTACCTGTATGTTAATCAAAAACCATATATTAACATGACTCTGCTCTTACAGTGTTTCCCTCTTAACTCTGGGTCCAGCTATTTTGGGCTCTTGGGTGTTGCAGTCCGTAATACCGGAAAAGCTATCGATTCCTCATTTTTATTATAATTTTGTGTGATTCTTTGACTTCGATTGGCCCCAATTTAAACACAGATTAACAGAGTTGGAAGGGACCTTGTAGGTCATCTAGTCCAACACCCCCATCCAAGCTGGAGACCCTACACTATTTCTGACAGATCTCTTCCAGTCTCTTCTTGAAAGTTTCCAGGGATGAAGTTCCCACAACTTCTGAAATGAATGGGAAGCGAAGAAGTCTTGAGAAAGTAAAAGTGAAAAGTAGGCCAAGAAATGTTTGTTTGTGGTGAAGAAAGTGATGGCTTTATAAAGCCAAATAAATGGAACTAGAACCATTTGCCTATTGATTTTAATGAAGGAACCTGTTATTAATGACAGATGGCCTTCTGAACACGCTTATGTTTTTTTTTTCCCAGGATTATTTCCGTGAGTTCCTTGTTTACACAGAGAATCAGAAAAATGTGATTCTGAAGCATAAAATAGGCATAGAAAAAGAAAGTCGTGATATAATCGTAAGTGTTGATGTTGCTGGCAAGTCACTATGTAAGATATTTTTTTAAAAACAGCCAATTGCTTTTAATTTGTAAATGTGTAAAATGGCATCCTTCATTTGGAGGAATCTGATCCCTGATGTCTTCAAAATCTGGTCTCTGATATGGAACAAATCTAAATCATGAAGACCGATAAAGTTTGCAGCTCAGGGTTGAAATGAGCAGTCCTTCATTTGCTCTCTGAGCTTGGCTGTTTTCTGGCAGACGTTTCATTACCCAAATTAGATAACATCATCAGAGCTAGTCAAGCTACCTAGTTTAGTCAATGAAACATCTGCAGGAAAACAACCAAGCTCAGAGAGCACCAAGGACCCCTCACTATGAACACCATAAAGTCCTTTTTAAAGTTTGCCCAGTAGAATTCAAATCAAGCAATGTCTGAATCTAAATCTTAGTGAGTTGGGTAGACTCAGTCATTGTGACTGAGTTAAGATTTCGTATGTCACGAGAATAACAGAATAACAGAGTTGGAAGGGACCTTGGAGGTCTTTTAGTCCAGGGTCCCCAACCCCTGGTCTGTGAAACAGCATTGGTCTGTGGCAAGCCAGAAACCAGGCTACACCAACAAATGAAACTCCATCCACAGGATACAGACTGTTGTGGCCCGCCAGCGGCTAGCGGAGTTGGCAGCAGGGTAGAGGGGGTTGGGGAGGAATATGGGCCAGTCCTGGAGGCTGAAGAAGGCTCGGACGAGGGCTCTGCATCAGAGGCACAGATGGGGCCAGAACAGGCTGGCAGTTATCAGCTGCCCTCAGAGACGGACAGCAGTGAGGCAAGGGAGCAGCTGGAGCTGGTTCCCTGCGTGCACATGCACAGAGCTGCCAAAAGAAAAGAACAATTACGAACTAAGAGTTGATGTGGGAGTTAGGCCACAGGTGAACGGTGAATGCTTCCTCCCATAGGGATTAAAAGAGGAGCAAAAGGGGAGGAGGCTTTTGCAGGAAACCATTCATTCCTTCGTTCATTGCAGCAGTGTGAAGACCTGTCTGTGTATCTCAGAGACTCTGTGCTGAGTCCTTCCTTGTCAGCACTGCACTTGAAAATATTTACTTGGCAGCTCTCCAAGCTAGATAAGGTCTGTGCTCCTAATTAAGACCCTTGAAAGACTGTTTGCCAGGCCTTTGGCTGAACATGAATGCAAGAAATTCACCTTCGTTTAATAAAAGGGGTTTTGCCGGGGAAAAAATGTCTGCTTAGTGCTTTTTGGGGAAGTCTAGGTCAGAACACAGACAGTACACAAAACCACACCCCCTCCGGTCCGTGGAAAAACCTCTCTCCACGCAACTGGTCCCTGTTGGCCAAAAGGTTGAAGGCTGCTGCTGTAGTCCATCCCCTTGCTCAAGCAGGAAATTCTACACCAGGGGTGTCAAACTCACCTGCGGGCCAGATTCAGCCCGCAGGGTGCTTAGGTCCTAAGTTGGAAACAGCAAAGGACTGGCCCAAAGTGCCTCTGTCCCCCCCCCCCCCCCCAAGCTCTGTTCTTGCTGGCAGAGGGGCTATCAAAACAAGCTAAAAATAAAACAAACTCGATTGCAGGAAATACGACTTCAGCAACAGAGTAGTCAACGCCTGGAACTTACTACCTGACTCTGTTGTCACATCCTCAAACCCCCAAAACTTTAACCTTAAACTGTCTACCGTGGACCTCACTCCATTCCTAAGAGGCCTGTAAGGGGGCATGCATAAGCTTGCCTACTGTCCCTGTCCTACTGTCCCCATTTATTCATGCTCATTTATTATGTATATACTTATACCCGTTTATACTTATATGTTTAGATTATGTGCATCCTTAGATTTGTTTTCTCATACATGCTTGACAAACAAAACAAAACCAATGTTTCCCCTTTTGCATTTGAGCATGCAAGAAGGGACAGGAAAGGAGAAAGGGAAAGAGGAAGGACAAAGGAAAAGAAAGGAAGATGGGAAGAGAGCAAGGAAGGAAAAATAAGGGAAGAGAGGAAGGAAGAAGAAAGGAGAATGAAGAGGGGAAGGAAAAAGAAGAAAAGGAAGGGAAGGGAGGGAAGGAAGGAAAGGAAGGAAGGAAGGAAGGAAGGAAGGAAGGAAGGAAGGAAGGAAGGAAGGGAAATTATAATGAGAGTGAGGGAGAGTCTGAGGGAAGGCTTGCCTTAGCACTTGGCCACCACAGGTGCCCCTGACACGAGTGATGTCAAGCTGGCCACGTGAACCATGCCCACTCCCGGCCCTCCAAGGTCAAACCCCTTGACTACAACACCCCAACTGTCTCTATTCTCCCCTCCCTATGCCTCTTCTCCAACACGAGTCTCAAAAGAGCCTCAGTCAGGCCAGCTTCAGGATTGACACCCTTTTCTTTCTGTTGGATTCCCAAAGAAAGGGACACAGACCCTGAGGAAAGAGAAGGAGGACGCGTTTGAGGAGCTCCGCCGCTTCCTCAACAGTGAAGAGCATACTCAGACCTGCAAAATCGGTGAGATAGAGAAGAACGCCATCCAGAAACGGGAGGAACGAATGGATGAGCTTTTCCAGGAATTCTCCTCCTGCGATAAGATGATGCGAGAATTGCAAAAGAAATGCAGCCAGCAAGCAAACAGCTTCCTGCAGGTAAGCTGGTAGACATTGTGGAAATAAAGCTCTCCTGGAAAGTAACTAAATTCTACTCCTGTGTTAATATGGATCAGTTGGAAACCTGGGGCTCTGCAGACAGTGAAGTTCAATTCCCAGCAGCCTAAATGAGCATGTCCAAAAGGTGTTCAATGCTGGGAGTTGTAGTTTAATTCAGAGGTGCCATTCAGCAGGTTCTGATTAGTTCTGAAGGACTGGTAGCAGACATTTTGAGTATTTTGCAGGAAATATGACTTCAGCAACAAAGTGGTCAATGTCTGGAATACTCTACCTGACTCTGTGGTTTCTTCCCCAAACCCCAAAAACTTTAACTTTAGACTGTCTACTATTGACCTCACCCCTTTCCTAAGAGGTCTGTAGGGGGCGTGCATAAGCGCACCAACGTGCCTACCGTCCCTGTCCTATTGTTTGTTTCTTTTTTTTCTTATACGTATCCATTTCATGTATTCATAACCATGTTTATACTTATACCTGTTATCTAATACTTGCTTGACAAACAAACAAACAAATAAATAAAAATAGTTCAGACAACTGGCAAATCCCACCTCTGACTGCCCCCGCCCCATCTATTCTCTGCCTCCCAAGTCCCAGCTGATTGGCTGGGTCTTCTTTGGTTGCCCTGCACAGGAGAATGGAGGTGGAAAGCAGGTTAGTGGGGTGGGGAGGGAATGGGGATTTTGCAGTATCCTTCCCCTCCCACGCCCACCATGCCATGCCCACAAAGCCATGCCACACCGACACCACGCCGACAGAACCGATAGTAAAAAAAGTTGGAATACCACCACTAGTTTAATTGCAGCTAGACTGCCACAGGCCACGTATTGCTATTGGCACAATATTAGGCGGGTTGCTCAGAAGGATGTTGCACATTGTATTTAGTGAACCTTCTCCTAATAAAAGTGGAAACCTGAGGCCCATCAGAGACCCATTTGGTTGCCACAATATAAAAAAAGATGTTGAGACTCTAGAAGGAGTGAAGAGAACAGCAACCAGAGGTGGTATTCAGCAGGTTCTGACCAGTTCTGGAGAACCACTAGCTTAAATTTTGAGTAGTTCAGAGAACCGGCAAATACCACCTGTGACTGGAGAATTTACAAAAATTTGAATCCCTTCACTGACAGCAACAACAATGATTAGGGGACTGGAGGCTAAACCACAGGAAGAACAGTTTCAGAAATTGGGTATGTCTATTTAATGAAAATAAGGACTCAGAATGACATGATAGCTTACTACCGGTTCTGTGGGTGTGGCCTGGTGGGCATGGCCTGATGGGTGTAGTGTGGCTTGATGGGCATGGCAGGGGAAGGATACTGCAAAATCCCATTCCCTCCCTACCCCACTAACCTGCTTTCCAGCTCCGTTCTCCTGTGCAGGGCAACCAAAGAAGACCCAGCCAATCAGCTGGGACTCGGGAGGCAGAGAAGAGATGGGGGCGGGGCCAGTCAGAGGTGGAATTTGCCAGTTCTCCGAACAACTCAAAATTTCCGCTACCGGTTCTCCAGAACTGGTCAGAACCTGCTGAATACCCACCTCTGCATGATAGCAGTTGTTCCCAGTTGTTCCCTCCACCACAAAGAAGAGGGAGTCAAGCTCTTCTCCAAAAACCCCGAGGGCAGGACAAAAAGCAATGGATGGAAACTAATCAAGGAAAGAAGCAACTTAGAACTAAGAGGGAAATTTCCCAACAGTGGGAACAATCAGTGGAGCGACTTGTCTCCAGAAGTTGCGGGAGCTCCAGCACTGGAGGTTTTCAAAAGAAAAGATTGTACAACCATTTGTTTGGAATGGTATAGGCATAGGGTCTCCTGCCTGAGCAGCGGGTTGGACTTAGAAGCCCTCTAAGATCCCTTCCAACTCTGTTATGCTGTTCTAGATCTTGCTGATCTTCAAATCCTACCATCTGTCACCATTGATCTGGCTGTTGGCTAGAAAGTGTAGTTCAGCTATAATTCGATGGCCACAAATGCCCAACCTTTTCTGTGCTGAAATGCAACTTTCACTGTTGTACATTTAGAATAGAGTGGAGTGGAGTGGAGTGGAGTGGAGTGGAATAAGAATAAGAATAAGAATAAGAATAAGAATAAGAATAGAATAGAATAGAATAGAATAGAATAGAATAGAATAGAATAGAATAGAATAGAATAATAGAATAGAATAATAGGATAGGATAGGATAGGATAGGATAGGACAGGACAGGACAGGACAGGACAGGACAGGACAGGACAGGACAGGACAGGACAGGACAGGATAGGATAGGATAGGATAGGATAGGATAGGATAGGATAGGATAGGACAGGACAGAACAATAGACTAAACTATAGACTAGACTAGACTAGAACAGAACAATAGGATAGGATAGGATAGGATAGGACAGAACAATAGAATAGAATAGAATAGAATAGAATAGAATAGAATAGAATAGAAAATAGAATAGAATAGAATAGAATAGAATAGAATAGAATAGAATAGAATAGAATAGAATTCTTCATTGGCCAAGTGTGGTTGGACACACAAGGAATTTGTCTTGGTGCAAATGCTCTCAGTGTACATAAAAGAAAAGATACATTCAAGAATCAAGAATCTTAAGGTACAACACTTAATAATAGTCATAGGGTACATTCCCCCACATATTATTACAGATTGTGACCTAGTAAAAGTCCATACTGAGATCAGTTTGGTTCAAGGGACAACAGGAGCGAATAGAAGAGAAGAAGAGAAGAGAAGAGTTGGAAGGGACCTTGGAGGTCTTGCCCCGCTCCACAAAGGTGTTTTTAATTCATTTTCTCAATTTTCCAGTGCAGGTAATCCTCAACTGGTTGCTTAATGACTGTTACTGTGGACCTCCCTAGGCCTACTAGCAACCTGTTTTCGGAGTTCTGATGGCCGCACACATGCATGCCTGTAGGGCTGTGATCATCACATTTTGGGCACTTGGCAACTCGCTCACCTTTATGGCTGTTTTTTTTTTTTTTAGTGTCCTGTGGTCATGTGACTGCAATTTGTGATTTATTTATTTATTTTGCTAGTTTCTAGTGTTTACTTCCAATTTCAGCAAAAAAATGGCCATGGGGAAAAATGAATTCACTTCATGCCAATGGTGCCCATGTAATGACAGTCATAAAAAAACAACAGTTGTAACTGAATTTGGTCACGTGATGCCTCAACTTATGACCTCAATAAAATATGATCATAATTCCAGGTTCAACCTGTTCTCCTTCCTATGCTAAGTGGATGGTTCTTTGATCAGCCCAAATATCAGTTGCTATCAACATTTTAACTTTCAGAATGCTCTGTGACCAGTACTGAAACTGTTCTCTTTTTCTTCTAGGATATAAGCAGCACTCTAGAGAAGTAAGTTGATCCAACAAAAAGCAAGAGATAATCTGTGCAGCAATGCTGAATGTATACTTCCTTGTTCTGATGTTCTTGAAATGCGCTGGAACGATATACTTCAACTACCTGATATCACAAAGCAGGATTGCCACTCCAGGACATTGCAACTGTCATAAATTACATGCTACCGGTAGTTAAATCAGGGGCACAAATTTTGATCACGTGACCATGGGGATACTGCAGTGGTCATAAGTGTGAAAATCGGTCAAAAGTCCATCACGCAGGTTAATCGAACCATCCTCACCTGCAGCAGAGGTTAAAAAAAGTTAAGATGTACTGATCTGAAATACGTAGGGTGGTCTCCATTCAGATATAGATGGAATTTTGAGTTTCTACAGTATTAGTGCATTCTATAATTGTAAGCTTATATCCCAAATGAAATCTCACATACAGGCAGTCCTTGACTTACAACCATATGTTTAGTCACCGTTCAAAGTTGCAAAAGCACTGGAAAAGGGGGGACTTCTGACCAATTTTCACACTTCTGACCATTGCAGTATCCCCCATGGTCACGTGATCAAAAAATTGGGTGCATGACAACTACCGGTAGCATGTAATTTATGACAGTTGGACTGTCCTGGAGTTGTGGGATTACCATTTGTAACTTTCTCAGCCAGCTTCTGATTAGCAAAGCCAACGTGGGAAGTCACATTCATTTAACAACTATCTAATTCACTTAGCAACTGCAGTGATTTGCTTAACAGTGGCAAAAAAGATTGTAAAATGGGGCGCAACTCACTTAACCATTTTACTTAGCCACAGAAATTTCGCGCTCGATTCTGGTTGTAAGTCGAGGACTACCTGTATTGTATTCTCTCCGTCAGTATCCTATAGTACCAATTTGGTTTTACCTCCTCCTTTAACTCCTCCCTAAAGTTCCAATGTTATTGGTTATTTTCTTCCACTGATGGACAGAAGAAAGAAACCCTGGCATGGAAGCTTTCTACATGCCTAGCCATAATATCTTACTCGCTCTCTCTCAGCCTAATCTTCCTCATAGGTTTGCTAGGCAGATCAAATTAGAAGTTGAATAATTAAGTTGTCAGCATTCCAAGTAACAACCTCCAGAGAAAAAGACTCCGAGAATATCATCTTTCCAAAGATCCATTAATTAGAGATGTCATATTGGCACATGTGGGGAAAACCCGTATCTGAAAGTTCCAGGTTTTCCCTAGCCCAAAGAAAACCCCAAATCCAACCCCTAACACCCAGTAGTCCATCACATGGCCCAATCATTCATTTGTTCCAACTGGAGACTATCCCCAGCCACTCCCTTCCGGGTGCAGGGTAACATGTCCTTGACTTTCTGAGAAAAGAATGTAGTTGTGGCAAATCTTCCACCGCTCCTTGAAATTCCCCTCCCGAATTTTCAGGCACTGAATCTGGCAACTCAGAAGCCTCAAAGGAAAATGGCTTCAAAGCTGACGTAAATATATTGCCCTTTTAGAGCTTCTAGAACAGGGGTCCCCAACCTTGGCAACTTTAAGACTTGTGGTCTTCAACTCCCAGAATTCCTCAGCCAGCTAGCTGAGGAATTCTGGGAGTTGAAGTCCACAAGTTTTAAAGTTGCCAAGGTTGGGGACCCTTGTTCTAGAATACTGCTTTCCAACCAGGCCACTTCCAAACATGTGAGTTTCCACTCCCAGAATCTTTGGCCCTTGCTGAGAATTCTGGGAATTGAAGTCGTCCTATCTGGACTTTTCCCTGTTGAGAAGCAGTGTCCTATCTAGAAGACACGTGGAACATAAATGTAGTATATAATTCTGACGTAATAAATAAAAATTACACATAAAGTATTGTATCACTAGAGACAGTAAAGATGAATCGTGGGTTAGGACTTCAGAATTGTCTGGGAATTGTGCAACAGGTGTCACAAATGGCCTCTTTGTCCAATGCAGTACAATGCAGTGAGCCATGAACAGATCTGTACATTGGGGAAACAAAATAGCCACTTCATAAATGCATGGCACAACATAGGAATAGAAACCCATCAGGACTAGATTCAGCAGTCCATCCGCATTTAATAAAAGACAAAGGCCACTCTTTTGAAAACAGCAAAGTCATCATTTTGGACAGAGAGGACCGCTGGTTTGGAAGAGGGGATAAAGAGGCCATCTATGGTCAAAATTGAACAGCCCTCTCTCAACAGAAGGGGAGGGATACGATGTCATCTATCTCTGGTCTACAACACCGTCCTTTCAGCAATTCCAAGAAGGCTCCACACCAGAGGTGGGTATTCAGCAGGTTCTGACCAGTTCTGGAGAACTGGTAGCAGACATTTTGAGTAGTTCGGAGAACCGGCAAATCCCACCTCTGACTGGAGATTTTACAGTATCCTTCCGCTGCCATGCCTTACTGAGCCACGCCCACAGAACCTGTAGTACAAAAATTTGAATCCCACCACTGCTCCACACCCATTGGCACCATTCAGATGACCCTGAGGACACAGATAAACCCCCAGGTGGCTTGAGCTCACTAAAACAGGGGTGTCAAACTGGCAGCCCATGGGCCAGATGCGTGACTTGCAGGCCACGCCCACCCAGCTCCGTGAAGGGGGGAAAAACATCGCAATATGTCACGTGACAGCAATGTGACGCCATAAGTTTGACACCTGTGCACTAAAAGAACGCAAATAGCCAGCTGTCTGCAAGGAGTATAAATCCTTCCATTCCCCAACATCCAGTCGGAACCGAAGAAGCTTCTTGGATGAGAAGTGAAATGTCTTAAAAAATAAACTAACAGCCTTCTTCTTTAATGAGAACAGAAAAGAAGATACTTCAATGCAGAATGTCTGGGACACAATGAAGGCTTATGCAAGAGGATTGATAATGGATTATACAAAGAAAAAGAATATTAGAAAGAGGCAAATGATTAAAATTTTAGAAGAGGATTATAAAAAATTGGAAAAAGAATTACAGAGAACACCGCAGAAAAAAGATATTAAATTTAAAATGGACATAATTAAACATAAAATGGACCAAACAGAGAAAGAAGAATTGGCGCAAAAAATTAGAAGTGCTAAACAGAACTACTTTGAAGATGCAAATAGGCCAGGTAGATGGTTAGCATATAAATTGAGAAAAGAGAAAGAATCCAAGAAAATACTACAATTAATGGATGAACAAGGCCAAGTCTGTTATGGTAATAAGGAGAAAAAGAGAATTATTCGAGACTTTTATGCACTATTATATTATATAAGCAGGAGGATCTTGATGAGGGGAAAATCAAACAGTACCTACAAAATGCCAACCTACCCAAGATACCGGACGAAACTGGGAAAATGTTAGAAAATCCTATAACAATGATGGAATTAACTGAAGCACTTAATAGACAGAATAACGGGAAAGCACCAGGACCAGATGGCTTTCCGGCAGAATTTTACAAAACACTACAAGAATCGTTGAGTATCTCATTGTTAGAAATTATGAATGAAGTTATGATAAACAAGAAAATGCCTAAAACATGGTCAGAAGCTTATATTACGCTCATCCCAAAAGAAGGGGCTGACCCACTACAAATTAAGAACTATAGACCCATTTCTTTATTAAATGCAGATTATAAAATCTTTGCTTCAATTTTGGCAGAAAGGCTTAAAAAATACTTAAATAATTTTATTCATCCTGATCAAAATGGATTTTTACCAAAGAGACAAATTAAAGACAACATGAGAGTAATTCTGGATACTTTGGAATACTATGAGGCACATCCTGAAAAACAAATGGCTTTGATATTCTTAGATGCCCAAAAAGCATTTGATAACGTGAATTGGAAATTTATGTTATTATTACTGGAACAGATGGGTTTTGCTAGAAAATTTATCCAAGCAATAGAAACTATATATTATAAGCAGACAGCTAAAGTGATGATAGATGGAGAATTTACAGATTCTATTAATATTAAAAAAGGCACAAGACAAGGATGTCCATTATCCCCTCTGCTATTTTTATTGACTTTGGAAGTGCTAAACAGAAATATTAGAGAGGACACAAGCATAAAAGGAATGAAAGTTAAAAAGGAGGAATTTAAGTTGCAAGCCTTTGCAGACGACTTGGTCTTTATTTTGGAAGACCCTTTAGAGACAGCTTTAAAATTACTGGAAAAGATAGAGACATATGGTGAGATGGCTGGCTTGAAAATAAATAAAGAGAAAACAAAGATTTTGACAAAAAACATGTTATTGAGACAAAGAGAAGAGTTGGCAGACCTATTGAAAATTCAAGTTACGAATAAAGTTAAATACTTGGGGATAATTTTGACTTCAAGATGTATTACATTGAAAGAGAATAACTATATCAAACTTAAACAGCAGATAGCATCCGACTTGAAAAAGTGGGAAAATCTACAATTGTCTTTGATAGGTAGAATTTCAACAATTAAAATGAATATTCTACCTAGAATTTTATATTTGTTTCAAACAATACCAATCAAGCTAAGTAAGGACTATTTTGAAGAATTAAATAAAATTGTGTTGAAATACATATGGCAAGGTAAGAAAGCGAGAATAAAATTAAAATTTTTACAGGATGCTAGAATTAGAGGAGGATTTGGCCTTCCTAACTGGGAGTTGTATTATCAAGATGCAAACTTAATGTGGGCTAAAGAATGGATAACATTAAGAAAGACTAGATTATTGACATTGGAAGGACATGACATTGTTGGGTTGGCACGCTTTTTTGTGGTATAAAGGAACTAAATCGCAGGGCTATTTTAGAAGGCACTATATACAGGAATCGTTATGGTTGAATTGGGAGAAAATTAAGAAACAATGTTATTTAAAAATCAGGACTCATTTTATTGGGAGTTCTGGACACTGAATTTTCAAGAAGAGATTGGACTGCCATTTGTCAGAAATGGTGCAGGGTTTCCTGCTTGGGTGGAGGGTTGGACTAGATGACCTACAAGGTCTCTTCCAACTCTGATTATCTGTTATCTGAATTGAAAAATACTAATGGAAGATTGATATTCTATATGGTAACCGCAGCAAATTTATTGTATGCACAATAGTGGAAGAATTATAAAATTCCCACAATGGAAGAATGGATGGTAAAAATTAAAGAGTTTGCTGAAAAGGCAAAATTGATTTGTTTGGTTAAAGTACAAATAACGAAAACTTTTTTGGAAGACAGGAAAAAACCTTATACTAAAAAGAAGATCAAAATGAATAGATTATTCTTGGATTTGAAAATGACTAAAAATATGGATTAAATGAAGGGACGGTGAAGGGATTTCTAAAATATTTATGGAGGGAAGATTGGAAATCATGTATATATTTCTTACTTTTTAGTTTTTCATTTCTTGCACTTGTCCTGTTCTTCTTCTTTTTTCTTCTTATAGCTCTTTACTCTATGGATATTCTTGATAAGTATAAATAAATAAATGAAACAAAACAAACAAAGAAAATGAATTAATATCCCGTTTCCTATTAGGTGTAAAAAGAAGGAGATTCAACATCGCAGGTTTTTCCCTCCTAACAATAAATGGGAAATATGGAAAATATGGGATGATAACATCTTTCTGAAGAGTGCCATCAAGCAATTCCAAGGTAAAGAGGATGCTGGCCAATATATCCTGGCAGTCCTTGACTTATGACCACAATTGAGCCCAACATTTCTGTTGCTAAGTGAGATAATTAAGTAAATTTTATTCCATTTTATGACCTTTCTTGCCACAATTGTTAAATGAATCCCTGGAGTTGTTAATAACATGGGTTGTTAAGGGATCGGACAACCATTTGTCTGATGTGGTGTAGGGTTTCCTGCCTAAGTAGGGGGCTGGACTAGAAGACCTCCAAGGTCCCTTCCAACTCTCTATTCTATTCCATTCCACTCCACTCTATTCTATTCTATTAAGTGAATCTGGCTTCCCCATTGACTCTGCTTGTGAGAAGGTAGCAAACATGACCAGGGGACACTGCAACCGTCATAAGTACATGCCAGTTGCCAAGCATCCAATTTTTGATCATGGGACCATGTGGCCGCTGCAATGGTTGCAAGTGTGAATAAGCCACTTTTATAAGCCAAAAGTGGCCATAAGTTACTTTTTTCAGTAATCAATCAGAATAGAGCTGGGAGGGACCTTGAGGTCTTCTAGTCCAGCCCCCTTGCTCAAGCAGGAGACCCTATACCATTTCAGACAAGTGACTGTCCAATCTCTTCTTAAAATCCTCCAGTAATGAAGCACCCATAGCTTCTGAAGGCAAAGCTCTTCCGCTACTTAATTGTCCTCACTGTTGTTAACTTTGAACGGTCATTTAAATCAGAGATCTCCAAACTTGGCCAACTTTAAGACTTGTGGACTACAACTCCCAGAATTCCCTAGCCAGCATGGAATTCTGGGAGTTGAAGTACATAAGTCTTAAAGTTGGCCAAGTTTGGAGATCTCTGGTTTAAATGAATGGTTGTAAGTTGAGGACTAACTATACGTGGCTCTCTCGTTTGTCACACAGCAACCACCCTAAGCTCCATTAAAACAAATTCCTATATATTGTATTATTATTATTATTATTATTATTATTATTATTATTAGATCCCAGTAAGGTGGCCTTCTGCAGCTGACCAATGGTAATCTTGTCAGCACCAATTGTTTTAGTGCTTACTATATTATTGTTGTTTATTGTATTATTATTATTATTATTATTATTATTATTATTATTATTGCATACCTTTGTGCTTTATAAAGTCTGCTCAGTTGTTTTCTTATTCGGTGCTGCATTGAAATAAGACGATTCACAAGCTTTAGGAAGAGAATTGTTGACTTAACAAGGGACATCTGGATGCCAGCAAGGAAGCAGGGGGAATAATAGAGAGTATTAAAAAGAACCAATGAAGACAATTTGCATGATCAAGCTTTGATTTCTTCCGCAGAAAGTCTGAATTTGGGGTTCTCCCTGCAGCAAGGTGAGTTTCCAGACTACCATAGACAAAGTTAAAAGGCTGTTCAGTCCTCTTTCTTGCCATCTTCATCATCTTTTTTTAATGACCCCATAATCCCTTGGGGGCTGGAGTCTGGGCAACTGAATGGAGATGAATGTTTACTGGCTGGATGCCCTTCCTGTTGTCAATGTGGAGTTTTGTTCAGCAGATCTATTCTCATTGTGCCCAGAGAGAAAAATATCTGTCTCTACCTAGGATCGAACTCACAGCTTCCTGATTGTGAGGCGAGACTCCACCTCTAGGCCACGGTACCACTCCTTTTTGTTGCCATCTTAATGGCATTTAATTTTTTAAAAAAGTTATTTGCCTCCATACACGTGCCTTTTTAGAGGCAGAGGATGGAAGAGAATCCACATTTGATCACACCAGCTTTCTGTGACTTTAAAAATGGTTTTTAAAGAGGAAGGTGGGCTGTGATTATATTGTTTAACTATTGGCTTTATTTATTGTGGATTTATTTTCTTATTATTGGCTAGAGGTTTTTTTGGGAAACTCTTATGTGACCACAAGCGAGCCCAAAATTTCCATTGCTAAGTGAGAGGGTTGTTAAGTGAGTTTTGCCCCTTTATACAACCTTTCTTGCCACAGTTGTTAAGTGAATTACAACAGTTGTTAAGCTAGTAACACCACTGTTAAGTGAATCTGGCTTCCCCATGGACTTCACTTGTCAGAAGGTTGCTAAAGGTGACCCCATGACCCTGGGACACTGCAGCCGTCATAAATACGGGCCAGTTGCCAAGCCTCTTCATTTTGATCATGTGACTGTGTGTTGTAAGTGTGAAAAAAGACCGTAAGTCACTTTTTCCAGGGCTGTAGTAACTTTGATCGGACACTAAACAAATGGTTATAAGTCAAAGACTACCTAAATAAACACCACAGGTAGATAAACAACTACAATCTTTTTTCAGTCGGAGGTTTTGCGCTTTATTCAAATTACTTTTACTAGATCCAGACACGGATGTGGGTCGAGACTGAAAACATTTGGGTTATTTATGTTGCAGGAAATGGAGAGAGGGTTTAAAAATGCATTAAGATTAGCCCAGAATTCCAGACCATTGTATTTTGACAAGACTATCTACCTGTCCAGTGGTGGGTTTCAATGATGGGATTCAAATTTTTTACTACCGGTTCTGTGGGCGTGGCTTGGTGGGGATGGCCATGTGACTGGGTGGGCGTGGCTTTCTTTTTTTTTTTTTTGCTTTTTTTTTTGTCCCCCCCACCCATTTTTTGGGCCTTGTGGGCCTCAGAGGAGCCTCTGGGGGGGGGGCGTTTTTGCTCCCAGAAGGCTCCCCTGAGGCTCAGGAAGGCAAAAAATAGAGGAGGGGGCTGAGCTCCTCCCTCCATTTTTTTGCCTTCCTGGGCCTCAGCAAGGGAAATCCTGGCACAGCTGATCTTATGAACAGCTGACTGTCGCGAAGGAAAAAAAAGAAAAAAATTACTTTAAGTCAGGAGGGCGGGATGAGCAAGCATCAGGCAGGCGGGGCAAGTGAGCCAGCGACCGGGTCAGGGGCGTGGCCAGCTAGAACTTACTACCGGTTCGGTGACCCACGCCAAATTCTTGCTACCGGTTTGCCCGTTTGCCCAATCCGGTGTGAACTGGCTGAATACCACCACTGGTGGGTTTCCAATTTTTTTCCTACTGGTTCTATGAGCATGCAGGGCTCCAAGACTGACCTCTGTCCAAACGTTGGTGAGTCAGCTGAGCTGTTTGTTAGCTCAGCTGAGGCGCGGCAATCAGCTCTGCTGTGCGAATCAGCTGAGGGAATATAGGAGAGCTAACGGCGGGGGCAGGTGGGAAAGGCCTGTCAGAGGTGGCATTTGCCAGTTCTGTAAAGTACTCAAAATTTCCGCTACCGATACGCCACAACCGGTCCGAATTGGCTGAATACCACCTCTGTACCTGTCCATATTTGGGGAGGCAATCTTATATTTTGGGGGAGCTCCAAAATAAGCACTTGGGCTTATTTTTGGGGAAACACAATTAAAGGGTGATCAGCCCGGCTGGGTGTCCCACTCTCTGGCGCACACACAAGAAGCAGCAAGCGCATGGGGACAGATGGTATCCGGCAGCAGGTGAAGCCTGCTGGCCAGGGGTGGGATGCTACTGGTTCTGCCGGTTCTAAAGAACTGGTAGCTCTGAAGAGCAGCAGACGCTGAACCAGTTCTGGGTTTGCTGCTGTTTGGTCCACCCACCCGCCCGCCTGGGCTCTTACCTGTCTTTTATTTCCTGCTTTTTCAACCTCAGCTGCTTTGCATGGGACAGCTAAGGTTGAAAAAGCAGGAAAAAATAGGCTTTTTAAACACTGCGCACCTGCACGCAGTGCTTTTCAGCTGTCCGGGAGGCACAGCTTAAGGTTTTTTTACACGCGCGCGCACAGCAAAACGTAGTCACCAAACCGGTAGTAACACTGGTTGAATCTCACCCCTGCCAGTGGTGAGCATACTTTGGGGCTGTTCGGCCTGCACAGTGAAGGTGAGTTGATTACCTGTCCAAGCAGCAGGCAGAGGCAGAGGCATGAGGAGGGGAGGCAGGGGACCTGGACGCGCTGTGCAGGCCACAGGAAAGCTGAGATTCAGTGGGCTGGAGTGGCCGGCCAGCCACAGGAGGCTTGTCTTCAGGTGGTAACAGATGGAGGCAGAGGTGCGGGAATGCAGGCGATCCCGATGTACCATGTGGGCTGCAGATAAGCCGAGAGATACACCTGTACGTATCCAGATTGCCTGCCTTCTCCCCCGTGCATGTGCCTCCATCTGCTGCCAGTGCCACCACACAAAGATGAGCCTCCAGCAGCTGCCCATGACATTGGCCCACGATGTATCCCACACAGCACATCTGGATCATGTGGCTCCCCTTCGCCTCTGCCTGCTGCTTGGACAGATAAGCAACACCTGCACTACGCGGGCTGCTGCTGCTGCTGGAAACCATCAGCCTGTGCGTGTTTGCTGCTTCCTGTGCTGGCCACACCTTCACTGGGGCTTAGTTTTGGGGTAGGGCTTATATTACACACATGCTTTAAAAATCAGACTAGGTCTTATTTTCAGGGTAGGTCTTATTTTTGGGGAAACACGGTGTTTGCCTCCAAGATTGGTCTCCCAACCGTCATGCTTGCTTATCTCCATCTTTTATTTCTTCCCTCCTCCAGCGGTGATCACTTTAGACAAGGAGACGGCTCACCCCCTGCTCATCCTATCGGAGGACTGCAAAAGCGTGACGCTGGGAAACGAGGCGGCGTGCTTTGCAAAGTCCCACAAACGATTCGACATGAGCCACAGCGTGCTGGGCTGCGAGGAGTTCAAGGAGGGCCGGAGTTATTGGGACATTTCCATGGGCAAGGAGGGGGACTGGACAGTGGGCGTGGCCCGGAAATCTGTGAGGAGGAAAAACGCCATCTCCATTGAGCCCAGAAGTGGCATTTGGGCCATAGGGAAGCGTGGCAACGACTATTTTGCTTTAGATCCTCCAAATTATTCTCGGTTGCAGCCCACTGGGGGGCTGAGAAGGATTCGGGTCTTTTTAAATTACGCCGGGAAGCACGTGTCTTTCTTTGACGCCGATGAAGCCAACTTACTCCATCATACCTACACAAGCACCGTCTCCAACGAGGCCTTTGTTCCTTTTTTTCACCTCTTTCACAAGGCTGTTCTCACCCTGACTCCCTAAGTTGGCTGGAAGGAAGGACGTCGGGTAGCTTTTAAAAGCCCCGCACTCCAGTTTTCATGACTCATTCTTACAAAGGAGACAAAGCAACACATCAACCACACCTATAGTTTGCCTCTTTTTCCTTTTTCTTTTGGACTATTGTCACAAACCGAATCTAATTCATTCGAAACGCCAGCTTCTTGCTTCTAACCAAGCATCCTTCCAAAGGTTTTCTTTTTCTTTTTTTAAACAGGGGAAGCTTTTTAAAGCAAACTCTAAATGCACACTTCACATAAAGCATGGGTTCGTGTTTTTAAGTTTATGTATTTGAAACTCGAGGTGGTGGGATGGTTGTGGTTTTTCAATGCTGAGATGTATTAAAACTGGTTGAGTTTATGTCTGTTTTCTTTCTTTCTTTTTTCAGCTTTAGAAAAATATTGTACAGGTAGTCCTTGACTTGCAAACAGTTCGTGTAGCTCAAAGTTACAACAGCACTGAAAAATGTGACTTATGGCTGTGTTTTTCAAAGTTACGACCTTTCCAACATTCCCATGATCATGTGGATCAAAATCCAGATATTTAGCAACTGGTTCGTACTTATCACCGTTGCAGTGTCCCGAGGGATCATGTGATCCCCTTTTGTGACCTTCTGACAAGCAAAGCCAATGGGGGAGCCAGATTCACTTAACAACGGGGTTATTAACATACCAACTGCAGTGATTCACTTAACAACTGTGGCAAGAAAGGTCGTAAAATGCACTTAACAAATGTGTCAGGAGAAATTTTGGGCTCCACTGTGGTCGTAAGTCGAGGACTACCTGTATATCACTATTACTATCATCTGTGGATGGAGTTTATAGAAGTAAACAGAAGTAGCAGAATTTTGCTACATTAGGAAACTAAAATATTTGTCTTTGTGTTGCCACCCAGTGGCCAGCTAGGGAACAGCAGGTATAATAGAAAATTTACCTCCATCTCAAATCCTGTGCCATTGATTTGACGATCCTAATACAGAGGAGGCAAGGGGCACCAGTTACAATTGCAAGATGACACAGCAATAGACACAACCTGGCCAAATTCCCCAGAAATAAAATACCCAGGCAACAATCTCTTTCAAAATGATCAGCAGCATTTCCTCCCTTTTTCGTTTGGACTCTTGAAGTCAGTTTTGACTCGTGGCAATTATAAGGATAAGTCCCTGCAGTTTTCTTACCAAGTGATTTTGCTCTTGCCTTTTCCTGAGGGCTGAGCGAGAGTGACTGGCCCAAAGTCACCCAGCGGTCTCGTGACTATGGTGGAACTATACCGTAGAACTTACGGTTTCCTAGTTTCTAGTTTGGTAACTTAACCACTACATCAAACTGGGTTTTCTATTGTACAAAGTTAGCACCCACCCCTCTCTCCTAGAAGAATGGAATATTCTAGTAAACATTAAAAAGGCAGAATATTTCCCCTAAAAGAGAAATTAAAAAAATCTTAAAAGGAAACAGAAATTCAGCCCCAGCTCCCTGCCCCCAGCAGATATTTTGGTGCCAGCTTATCTACAACACAAAAGACTGGGCCAGCCTATCTATAAAAAAACAACAACAACCTTCACCCTCCAGGACATAATAGGATTATCTATCAGCAGAACTCCCCACATGGCACAACCAAGCCCCTTCATTACATCACCCAGCAAGATTCAACCAAGCCTGGGACACAGACAGCCTACAAAGAATAGAATAGAATTCTTGATTGGCCAAGTGTGATTGGACAAATACTCTCAGTATACATAATAGAAAAGATACATTCGTCAAGAGTCAAGAATCATAGGTACAACTTAATGATAGTCATAGGGTACAATAAACAATCAAATCATACTAGGAAACAGTCAATATAAAGTTAGCTAAGACCTCTGCCCCATGGCAGCCTGACAACCAATAGGGTACTTGCCCTTGCCACAGGAACAGGAAGCTCAAGTTAAATAAATATATCTCTCCATTCCATGTTTTCAGCTGCATCAGGACCATTTGCTTAATGGTTCTACTCCATTAAATCATCCTTCCAAGCAGCCTCCATGTTTCCAGTGTCTTTCTCCCCACTTGGAACTGAACCCAGATGGACATTTCTTTCATCAATTTCATTTTGTACACTTAAATTAGATTACATTGCAGTATCCCTATGTAATCTAACAAAGCACTACAACAGTCCAATATGTATACAGGGAATATTCAACTTATGGCTATAATAAATCCTGGAATTTCTGTCAAATTTAGACACCGACCTGACCAGGTCTGATTTTACTTTTTTGGGGGTAATGGTTGTTAAACAAATGCCCTGGTTAATGAAACCTAGGGTGTTTGTTTTTTACTAAAAATCAGCTGAAAAGTCAAGAAACCTGGAAAAAGTTGTAAATTGTGGTCATGTGACTGCATACTACTCAACCAGTTACAGGTGAGCCAGTTGCCAAATGCCTGGAAATGCCACATCTGGCAACTGGCTCACCTTTATGATTGGTTGAATTTTCTGCAGTTATATGACTGCAATGTATAACTTTTTTTCAGATCTCTTGTCTTTTTGGCTGATTTTTGGCAAATACCCCCCTCCCCCCAAATTTGCTTAACCATGGCATTTGTTTAACAACCATTAAAAAAATTAAAATCAGACCTGGTTAGGTGGGTGTCTCAGCTAATGACAGAAATTCCAGGATTTATTACTGTCGTAAGCTGAAGACATATGACCTTTCCTTCTTCACAGATATCTTCATGGTTATGTGCAATATTTGCTGCTTTTGCTTTCCTGCTTAAAGGACGGACGGCATCATGGAATGAATCACACTGGTAAAAACTGCACATTTTGGAAATATATAGAAAGGAACTCTAAGGGGGTTTTCTTTTAACAGATTGAGTTGGAAGAGACCTTGTAGGTCATCTAGTCCAACCCCCCCCCCCCCCCCAAGATGGTGCAGACCCTACACCATTTCTGGCAAATGGCAGTCTAATCTCTTCTTGAAAGTCTCAAGTGATGAAGCTCCCACAACTTCCGAGGGCAAGCTGTTCCATTGGTTGATTGTTCTCACTGTTAGAAAGTTTCTCCTTATTTCTAGCTTGAATCTCTCATTGTTCAGTTTCCATCCATTATTCCTTGTTTGGCCTTTGGGTGCCTTGGAAAACAGGTTGACCCCCTTCCTCCCTGTGGCAGCCCCTCAAATATTGGAAGACCGCTATCCTGTCTCCCCTGGTCCTTCTCTTCACTAAACTAAGCCATGCCCAGTCCCTGTAACTGTTCTTTTTAAATTTAAACGTTTTATTTTAAGTAATGTGTTTGGAATTGTGGGAAGCTTTAAACCCCAAAAACAAAACAACAACATTTGTGCTTGTTTCACTGGGAGGCCATACAGCCTCCTGGAACATCTTGATGGATCACATGTGCAATAATCTAATTTGCTTACAAAGAAGGAAATGACCCTCACCAGCCTGTATTGAATCAATTAAGACTGGTTTGTATCAGAGAACATAGTTGGTTTTGTTTTGAAACCTCTATCCTTCATGGAATGGCTGGAGGTTCTTTCTGAGTCTTTGCACAGGATTCAATGTTAAGATCAGGATTTTTCATTTGGATGAAGATAAACTTTCTCATGTCCCAAAGGTGCTTTTTCAAAGTGCTTTGTCCAGTTGCCTCTTGAAAAAGCACCTTTGGGACAATCATGACCTGGATGGCTGAAAATCTCCATAGACATATAACTTGCTCATATTTAGATTTAATTTAAGACTGAAATAAGGGACACAGTGGCTCAGTGGATAAGACGCTGAGCTTGTCGATCAGAAAGGTCGGCAGTTTGGCAGTTTGAATCCCTAGTGCCATGTAACGGAGTGAGCTCCCGTTCCTTGTCCCTGCTTCTGCCAACCTAGCAGTTCAAAAGCATGTAAAAATGCAAGTAGAAAAATAGGGACCACTTTGGTGGGAAGGTAACAGTGTTCTGTGCACCTCCGGCATTTAGTCATGCCGGCCACATGACCATGGACACGTCTTTGGACAGTGCTGGCTCTTCTGCTTTGTAACAGAGATAAGCACTGCCCCCTAGAGCCAGAAACGACTAGCATGTATGTGCGAGGGGAACCTGTACCTTTACCAAAGATTGAAAGACTAAATCGAAGGTCCTTTAGAGAAAGTCCATCCTTTCCTTTATTGCTGTTAAGTATTCAGAGTTTGACACTGCAGTCTCTGAAGCCAATAAGCATTGCTTGGATACCAACTTTCTAACTCACTTTTAAGACAATTTCCCAAGAGGCTTTTTTGAGGAGGGCAGCAGATGAATAGAGCAGCTGCCTCAAGGGAAGGAGCAACTAAATTAGAGAGCCTGGACTTTAATTCCTGTTAAAATCAACTCATACTCTCCATTTGCCACTCCAGCACATTCAATTTGTTTTAATGAAAGTCCAAGGGACTTGTTAACATGATTACTATTATTATTTCCATCATAATTCTTATTGGATGACTTTATGTCTTGCCTGCACATAGAGTTCATTTCCTGTCATATTTTTCTTTTACTTCTTCTCATCATAATATCTCATACAGGGGAAGTGCAGATAAAGTACTCAGCTCTTGGAGGATAAGAGTATGCTGTTTATTTCAGGATCTGGTGAAATAAAACAACTAATAAAAGGGGTTAAGAAATAACAGCTTTAATAAAAAATGTATTTGCATTTCATCATTGTAACTCTGTCCCTTGATACTTCAGTTTCTCAACAAAAAATATATTACAGCTGGATTTGCTGATCTGCAATAGTAATACAGATTAATGTTACAATTGCCCATTGGAAGGTTGTTTCCACAATAAAATTCATATACCCCTGCCCCTCACCCCACAAGAAATACAGAAAAAGACATCAATTTTGTGGCCCCCAATTTAACCTCAATAAACCTCATTCCCCTCATTGCCAATGACTGCTGTAAATGAGGGAAGTTGTCCCACATGTGATTGTATTTGGGAAACTCCCGAAAGGGACTATCCAATTGAGTATGAAGACTTAGCAGATAAG